GAAAAAGTCGTTGGAAAATTTGAAAAGAATGATCCAAAACTTAATGAATTGCAAGACGAAATTAATTACCTGAAAAGACTCAGTGAATGTGAAAATATTCTCAAGTTGTAAGTATAATTAGTATATTTATCATGTTTTAAATTGCGTCATGCATTCTTTTCTCACGCACTAATTACTTGTTTTTTGAAAAGTCATGGACTCGTTCGTAGAAACACTAGTTTGAGCGTCATTATGAAATGGGGAGAATATAAACTACAACCTTATCTTGAGAAGTATCTAAATATGGAATGGACAAAGAAATTGCTGATCGCGCGCGGAATCGCCGACGCGTTGAATTTTATTCACACGAATAACATCTTACATTATGATATAAGAAGGTATGATAATTTTCTGTCACATAATTTTAACAATTTATATTTACGTTTTCTAAATTCACAAACTTAATTTTTATATACCAGTGATAACATTTACCTGGATATACTTTTACAACCTAAACTTTGTGGTTTTCGTATCGCAAAAGATTCGCCAATCATAATGAATTCGGCTAATGATAAAACGAATTCAAGATGGACTCCTCCTGAGAAATTTCGAGAGGAAGAATACACAAAAGCCAGTGAAATATATAGGTAAATTATTTTTATAAATAATGCAAAATTTTTTTTTTTTTTTTTTTTAAAAAAAAAGTCAAATAGTTAACGTTTATATTTTCTTCATAGCTTTTCCTTAATACTTTGGGAAATCATTAATCATAAGTTACCATTCCACACCGTTGATCCTAAAGATATTAAAATTAAGGTTCTCAATGGAGAACATCCGCAACCTGAAACTATTAATAACGTACCAGTCGAATATCAAGAAATAATGAAGAAAGGATGGGATTCGAATCCAAGTAAACGTCCAACAATTCAAAAAGTATCAAATGTATTGAACAAATTAGATTCAGAATTACATGGTGTCAAAATCGGAGGTTATGACGATAACTTTCTCTCGCCAAAAGCTGCTGCATTCAAAGATGATGCTTCGTTTGAAGATGATGCTTCTTCGATACAATCAGATAATTCATGTGTATCTTATAATGCAGATTTAAATGTTACGCACCATTTTGCTAAAAAATCTAAAGTTTTAGACAAATTTAATCCATTCCGCAAACATTTAGATATAGAAGAAGCGATTAAATTACATAATAGAAGACAATACAAGAAAGCATGGAAATTATTTAAAGCGATTGAAGTAAAAACTGGGTCACCTGAAGCAAAATTTTGTGTAGGATACTATTATCTTAAAGGTCATCATGAGGGTCGTGGTGGCAAACCAGACCCAGATTCAAGTTTAAAATATTTGTATCAGGCGGCGAAAGAAGGTCAACGTAACGCTCAATATTGGTACGCTGAAGTAATATTAAATTCAAATTATAATTTAAAAGCCCAAAAAGATGATAGAAACCATCAACTTGCGATCCAATATTTAGAGAAGGCTTCAAACCAAGGTTGTATTTCCGCTATGAGAGACTTGGGAGAGATTAGGAAGAAAGGAAAGTACGGTTGCCCTCCTGATAAGTATGTTGGAAAAGATTTGATTAATAAAGCTCGCACTTTGAGCTTACTTTGTACCTTTGACGGTATAAGTTAGAACTTTGCACTTGTAAAAAAAAAAAATATATTATTAATATAGTAACACTTTGCATTATTTCTAATCATTATTTAAAACATGTGATAATTTAATTATTGTTACCTTTATTTTTTTTAAGCTATTTAGTAAATATGTATAGATACAAAAATTTACAAATGAATAAAATGAATATGAAATCAATTTTTACGCCAAATTTTAAAATAATCGACTTTTGAAACCCCCGAATTTTGTAAATCTTCCGAAACCGTTATGTAAACACAGCGTTATTCTAATTTTTACTGACCATCATAATATATATATATATATATATATATTTTTTTTGTGTATTAACATTATCGTAAATTTTACATGTTATAAATAAGTAGTTACGCACATGTGTATAGCTTCTAATATTACGACTCCTGACATTTTTACTACCTCGATTTTATTTTATTTTGAATGACGAATACTCTTTTTT